GAAAATGTTTTGTCATTGTCTCCTTTCTATCTCCTCTTTCTTTCATCTTTTCTCTTTTTTTTCTTTTTTCTCCCTTTTTCTTCTTCTGTTTTTCTGCTCTACTTACATTGCAGTGTCCATAAAATCTGTAAAACTCCCTGCATAATTATAATAAAGCAATTTATATGCATGAAACAAGTGTAGCAATATGGCAATTGCTGTACTTCTACACTTGTGAAAGTAAAATCTGTTGGGCTCTTTCTGGCATCAAGACAATTATTCTTATTATCACATTGCCAAACAGGACACTGTAAAAAAAAAAAAAAAAGTTAATTGAAAAGTAAAAAAATTTATCAAGCCTAGTTAACAATTATATTTAGGTTTATAAACTAAAAAATATCAGTGCCAGTATCAGCTTTAATGCCTCTAAGGTGATATTGGACTGAAAAATAATGCATTTCTTTCACTCTAAGAATGTTTTTTCATGAATTTCTTATAAAAACACCTTAGTTATTTTTCTTTATATATTCAGGCAAGTTGGCGTTTCTTCTTATTATATTGACATAATTTTTAATCATCAAAATATCCATATTTTTTTTAATGTTCCAAAGGTAATAAGATCTTCTCATGGATTCCAAAAACACTATTGGCTGGAAATGATTTTAAACTTTTTTGTTAAACTTGTTGCGAGAAGCAGTGACTCTTTAGCTAAGAGCGCCCCCTGTAGGACAGCCGTATGCTTGCAGGTTCCTCTGCAGAGCTTCATCCAGGTGAACTGAAGCAGGGAGGCATCTAGAAGCTGTAGTTCTGGAAGTTTGACCATCCCTGATTAGAAATGTTTACTATCTTAAACATTTCATGCAGTATTTTTTCTTTTTCAGTCACCTAAAATTTATTAAATCCTGCTGAAGTGGCCATGGAGGCCTGAGGGTTTTATTTTAGTTTATTATGTTATTATTCCTCCATTTCTGGGTTAGATTAGAGAGAAAACCCGCAGAGATAACATCTGACCTTGGCAGCTCTGCTTTCATTCTAAACAGTTTGACTTCAGTTCTGATCACCTCTGCGGGGGAAACTGCGCCGCCTGCTGGCTGAAAGCTGCAGCGCACCACTGTGGCACAGGTCGAGAGGGACAAACAAACCTCAGAGGAGGAGGAGGAGGAGGAGGAGGAGGCTGCATATAAAGCCGCAGCGCTGCACATGTGGAGCCTCAGTACCATCAGGGAACCTCTGACGGATTCATAAGCATCTGTTCATATCTGAAGGATTATTTCTGCTCATATTTTACAAACAAACATGGATTCAAAGGTTTGGATTTCCGTGCTGTCAGTGACGCTTTCCTGGATCTTCTGCACAGGTAAGAGATTCCCTTTGATCAGCTCACTAAAACTAAAACACTTAGTAAAAAACTGCCAGCAGCTGACTGTCCACCTGCTTTCCTCCCAGGTCTGTCTGCGCCAGCCGCAGAGCCGCAGTCTGCTGCCGCCGCAGCCGCCCGGGCGCAGCGCCATGTGCGCAACAAGCGCTGCTCCTGCGCAACTTTCCTGGACAAAGAGTGCGTCTATTTCTGCCACCTGGACATCATCTGGGTCAACACACCTGAGTGAGTGAGGGGAGGGGGGCCTGAACTCACCTGGAGCTTTAAACAAAAAATGTTTTTAAATTATCTTTAGAAAATCTTTGTTATCAGAACATTTTAACCGTGGAGCAGGTGATCCACGCAGGACAAATATTCACTCCTTTCAGTTTCTAGTTTATTCCAGGAGAATAACTTTCTAACTAAATCAGGAGGATTTATATTTTATTGCTTCTTCTATTAACTTTACATTAATAAACATTTCCCTGTTTTCTCTATTAATGTGCAATTAATTAGTTTTAGACTTAATATTAAAACAAATATGATCGGATATCATGTTAGAAAGAGATTAGATCCTTTTAATGAGGCTCGGATCTGGTTTCGTTTAAAGATATTTGAGAGATAAAGAGTCTATTTCCCTATTAAAGTATGATCAAAGGAAAACGAAACTTTCTGAGGTAGAAATAAATTATTTTCTTTTTAAATAAAATAAGTTTCCTTAAAGTAATTTTAAAAGAAGGTAAAAATTAGCCTTTTTAAAAAATTTAAAGTAAAACAATGAAAGCAGGAATTTAAAAAGGGATCAAATAACCAGGAATGCTTTCATCTTTTTGCGCATGCGCAATAAGTTCCGATCAGCTGATTTATTCCTGATTTTCTCCTTTAGTTTGTTGTTTTTTTTTTAAACTTTTCTATCATCTCTTCTCTCCATCCAGGCGCGTGGTCTCCTACGGACTGGGGAACGCGCCCAGGGCAAAGCGCGCGCTCGCGGACACCATGGCAACCAGGAGCACCCCCCGCTGTCTGTGTCTGCGTGGAAACGACAGCAGCTGCACGAACTTCTGCCTCAGGTGAGAGAAAATAATAATTAGAGATAAAAAAAAAAACAACACTGCCACCTGCGTGATCGTGGGAACTGGTTTGAGTGACGCTGACTGGAATGTGATCACGTGCACGCAGGTCTGAGACGGTGGAAGGCGCGCGAAACCGCTCCCCAGCCCACGGACGCAGAGAAGACACGGGTGGGCCCAACAGGTGAGGAAAATCTCCGAGTGGGTAAAAAGTTTGTGTTGGAAGGAGTGAGAAGGTCCCACGCAGGGAGTCAGGAACAGAACATCCACGGCTGCTGATCCCTGCAGCTCATTCCTTCCTCCGTGGGAACCTTCGTGTCGCGTCATGTTTCCACTGAAAGCTCCGCTTCTGCTGCGTGTCTGCGATCCATCAAACCATTAAGCTCAATTAGATGAGGAACAAACCTGAACTTCATCCTTTCTGACTGAAGATCCATGAATCACAGCTTCATGCTGCAGCCATGGGCGGCTCTAGACAGGGGCCAACGGGGGCCAGTGCCCCTGCAGATCATGTTATGGCCCCTGAACCGAACACATAAAACTAAAAGAAATTCTAATGATGATCTGCGCTGGAACAGACATGGATACTGATGGGTCCTTTGGATCTATTTCACTTTTTTTCTTTACAAATTCTGTTTTACTAATTATTTAAAACAAAATAAGGTGATAGCTACAGCGGTATTGAGATCCCAGTTTTCATCTGCTAAATTTTTTTAAAACAATAAACAAAAATAATAATTTTTACAGCTGAATTTA